GGCAGATTAGAGCTCAGGCTCTGTAATACATAGTTAAAAGAGCTTAAGGCATTTCTACCTGAGTTGCAGTGACGCACCTTCCACTGCTGCTCCGTCAACATTACAGGAGCGATCTCTGTTTAGCCACCAACACTCAGCTTTTGAGTTTCACTTAAGCATCAAGGGTGGACGGGGTGGTGATTTCACTTAAGAAATGGGACTGAATCTGAGTCCGTCTCTTTGAGGTTAACTTATCACAGCAGTAACCATATCAACAGTGGTCACCTTTAAGCTTATTAGGAGCGATTAAGGAGCTTAACTGGACTCATGTCTCAAGTAAAGAGATGAAATAGCATGCTTGTTTCCAGCACAGAGCCACAAAAAAGGATTGCTGTACTTTTCGCTCCACAGAAGGTAAAATCAGGGTTATGTCTGACCACAAAGTACCCCCAATGGACCATTGCGTTTATTTGACTCAAACATGTGAAACATCAGTGCCTGTGTTGCATGATGCAGGTAATGGGTCATCTGTGCCCCAAGCAGGAGCCTGTGTGACTCTCCATCTGCTTCCTGTTAACAGATACCTGTTGTGTGACTTGACAAACATGTGGGCTCTGAGGCAGAAGGTGCTAGAGCTTGAGCCTTAAGGGCAGATTCCCTTCATGCCCATACAATCTCTTATTATCTGCACTCCGATGGCTTCTGTAGAAAACAACTGCACAACAAAAAGTAGCTCTGTGCATTTTTTTAAATTCAGTAAAGAGTGCTTTTAAATGTAGATGTATCTTAAAAAAAAAACTTCCAGTGTGTTTGAATCAAAACAAAAGTAAACATTGCCAGCATGTATATAGTGCAATATTCTTGTCACATGGTTTAATTTGACATTTAAAGGCTATGAGGACACAACTTCAAAGCTCGTGTGGCTGCCAGTTACTGACACCCATCCACGTCACACACACACACAAAACTGCAAATGTTAAGAGTGGACTTACAGTTTTAATCTTTAAATCCACAACTGTGCTATCAAACCATGTAAGCAAGAGAAGTGTCAGCTGTTGCCCAGGCTGTTTCAAGGCTGTGTGCCAAATGCTATGGCATAAAAAGTCCTGACACTTCTACAGTTTTACTGAAGCCTGCCACTTTATGTTTACATGATACACGTGGGCATTATGCCCTGCGAGGCCAGACCACCGCAGCAGAACTTGATCTCACAAGCCCCACGTCACATTTCCTAGCGCAAATGACTTTTTAACACAACCACTCCTGGTATGTTCCTAAAAACTTTATCTATTACCTTTCAGATGTTCTTAGCTGTCACGTGAGGCCTTCAGAGAGCCCCAGTGTCACTGGTTGTTAATGAAAACAGAGATTAGAGGGGATTCATGACAAGCAGAGTACTGTAGCTCAGCTTGGAGCTGACTGCTAACAGGATGACCTGCCTTACCATGCAAGTGCCTGACACAACTAACTCAAGGTCAGTGGGGAATAATATACAGTAGATTAGCTGCCTGACATCAACCCTGATGCCCTGAGGGAGGAATTAGAGCAGCAAGTGGGCCAGGAAAT